ACCCCAAACCCTAAACCCTATATAGTAGTTTCCATTTTCTTTTCCATTATCTCTATATGATCCCTATATTCCCCCTAAACCCTAAACCCTAAACCCTAAACCCTAAACCCTAAACCCCCAAACCCCAAACCTGCTGGAGGCATCTCTACCAGGTAGCCGACTCTCGGAGCTTACCCAGCGATTCCAGTTCATTGAGCGCCAGGTGGGTCTTGCAGGATATAGGGGATATCAAGCTACTATATAAGGATTAGATGGAGATATTAGAAGGATATGTGTATATATATATATATCTATGTATATGTAGGGATTACATAGCGATATTTTATACGGTCATATAGAGATTCTTAGAGGGGAGGGAAAAGAAAATAGAAGCTACTATGTAGGGTTAAGAGTTTGTGGTTTAGGGTTTAGGTTTCAGCATGCATGGTGTAGAGCAAAAGTCTAAACTCCTAGTATCACCTTTAGAAACCCCTGTAGTAGTCCCCTATATAACCTCCTATATAAGCCTCTTGAAGAAGTTTAGACTATGCTTAGGGCTGAGACTTGAGGGTTTAGGGTCGGTCACATCGTTCAGGGTTTAGGGCCCTTGGATCTAATTGGGCATCAAGATGCCGGTTTAGGGTTTTAGGGTTTAGGGTTTCAGGGTTTAGGGTTTTAGGAATTAGGGTTTAGGGTTTAGTGCATAAGAAATCAGCCCATAGGCGCCTCAGCAAAATATTTCGCCAATCTATTGGTATTTGGAATTATGGCCTAACGATGGCTCGAAGACCTAGACCTTTAAATCCTAAACCCTAAGGATTTTGGTTATTTGGGCAGAGGATGATGGACTTTGATATGGCTTGCTTTCCTGATGATGTCAGACGTGACACGATGGAGGTAGAAGTGGACACCAAGTCCAGAAAGCACACGGAAGATTCAACGGCACTGGGCTCAGCAACGTACATGGGGGGTTTCCATCATAAATCCCAACATATTACAACATGTGTTGTAAGGACTCCTAAGCAGGTGCCCCTGAATCTAGAAGGCTTCCATGAGGGCGTTGCAAGGAGTTCGAATTTAGCACTTCCACGTTTGCACAAAATCTTCTTGCCTCATGATGTGTGGCGCGTCCACGAGTGGCTGTGACGTGTAGCGTCGCTGTGAGTGTGACCATGTCCCGGCCACGAGAAAACACCTTGCACCGTAGGTTGAGAATCTTTGGTTTGATGCCAGCCCCTCAGCGTTTTGCAGACTTCTTGGAATAGAGAGTTGTTCTGACGCTTTTTGCCAGCATGGGGAGCGTTTCTGCGGCTATACTTTGATGGGTTCCCTGTAGAAAGGTGCAGTAAGAATGTTTTTCATGGGTTTACACCTGTAAGAATGTAAGTCTGTCGAACATCCACTGCTTTGTCACACTGGCAATTATGTCACAGCAAGCCCTGCGCAGTCCTAAAAATCGCAAACCCTAAACCTTTAAACCCCAAACATTAGGAGGACCCCCCACCCTGTAATAGTGACTAAGAGGGATAATAGGGATTATATTAGGGTCCTCTTGTATTCTTATTATACCACTATTACGGGGTGGGGGGTCCTCCTAACCCAAACCCTAAACCCTAAACCCTAAACCCTAAAGCCTAAACCCTAAACCTTTAAACCCCAAACCTTAAACCCCAAACTTCATCTCCTTGTAGGCCCGAAGCACCCCAAGGAGGATGCCTCCGAGACCCTGAATTCAAGGTAGGTCTAACTTAGGTGGACCGAAAAGGGTTCGGGTTTAGGGGTTTAGGGTTTAGGGTTTAGGGGTTTAGGGTTTAGGGGGAATATAGGGATCATATAGAGATAATGGAAAAGAAAATGGAAACTACTATATAGGGTTTAGGGTTTGGGGTTTAGGTTAGGTGGACCCCGCACCCAGTACTAGTGAGTAAGTTGAACAAAGGGTTTGGGGCTTAGGGCTCGTGCTCGGATTGGTTGATGTATCGGGAAGATTTCTCGGAAACACATCCCTAAACCCCAAATTCTAAGCCCTAAGTCCATTGTGGAAAAGGGCGCCCAAAGCATTTAAATCCTAAACCTAAACCTTAAATCCTAAACCCTAGATCCTAAACCAATTGCGTCATGGTACTATCCGATAGCTATGGCATCGCTCTGGCTTTGGGCCTACGCTCTTGCTGGCATCCTGGTTGAAGATGTATCGTGGGGTTTAGGGTTCAGAGTTTTGGATTTAGGGTTCAGAGTGCGGGGTTTAGGGTTCAAAATTTAGGGTTTAGGGCCTTTCCTAGGAACAGGTACGTAAAACTCGAAGGCTCCTGCGTAGTTAGAAGTGGGTCATAGCTAGGGTGATTGAAGAGTAAACCCAAAACCTTGTAACCTCATTCCGTGGACCTCTAACCCCAATTCTAAACCTAATTCTGACTACGGTAGCCACTGACCTTCAAGTAGTGTTCCTGATTTTTTTATCGAGCTTCAGGGTCCAGGATATAGTGTTGAAATTTTGTGTAGAGGTCAGGGTCCAGGGTTTAGGGCCTTAGGGGCTTGAGGGTGGTTTAGGGTATGGGGCCTTAGGGGCTTAAGGGTTAAGGGCCACAATTTCAGGGTGTAGGGTTCAGGGTGACCGGCTACCGTGAGTTATAGATGGGCTGCTTTTGCTGGTGTAAGGGCGAGGGGTCTCAGTCTCTTCCAATGATGGCTCCTTTTTTGTAATCCTAAACGTTAAACCCCAAACCCTAAACACTAAACCCTAAACCTTGATGCCCCTAAACCCTGAACCCTAGACCCAAAAGCTGTCAAAAGAATGATTCCTTTTAAGGTCAGCAGGGGAATCAAGAAAGGACCGCAAGTTCGACCACTCAAACAGACATTGTCCTGTCCTGGGTCATTCCCTCTTACGTTAACCTCACAAGGGTTTTTTTACTAAGGGGCTATGATGACTCTTCTGATTTCTTGTGGTAAGTGTTACTGAAGGGGGAATGACTTAAATTTAATGCAACAATTAGAGTTTTTTCTCTCGCGGAGACAAGAGATTCACCTGTAGCTTCTGAGATATGTTTGTTTTGTAAACCCCAACCCCCCGGAAGGCCACGAAATTCCGCCTTAAAGCACAGGCCTCTAAGGTATCCTGCTTTGAGATACTCCCTTGTCTTCACATTAGGTGCACTGCCGGTGCAAGGCAGCGACACCTGCACGGATCTCATAGAACCCGCTTTGCTGTTCAACAGCATTTTTCATGTTTATTGGGTTTAGGGTTTAGGGTTCCCCCAGTTTAGATTAACAAGGACGATCTTACCTACTGGTGTTTCGGGGAGTCTTCAAAATTAGGATTCTGTCCCCAAATGCCTGGATCCTTTTCTCAACCCTCTACAAGGACCCCGTAAATGACATTCCAGGAGCAGAAATTAGCAGACTTCTGGTATGCCTCTGGGCCTCCCCTTTCCGATGGCAGTGCGCAAGATTGCGGCCAACAAGGAGGCGGACTCTTTGGACGTGGGGTTGCCAACTTATTCCTTTATGGGTTTGCATGATGGAAGTTGTGTCGCCCTAAACCCTAAACCCAGTTGGGTTTCGGGCTTCGCGTCCCAGGCTTTGGGCATCAGATGTCGGCTCGAACTTTCACAGTGCACATAGCACTAGTATTATCACTATATCTATGATTACTACCATGAATTACCAGTAGACAGAATTACGATTACTATTATCTTTATTATGGCTAGGAAGGTTACACCCCCCAAAGCTGGCTCACACGAGCTACAATTGCCCCCGTAAACCCTACAATTGCCCCCGTAAACCTGGACCCTAAACCCTAAGCCCGGGTTCCAACTGGTAGTCCCCAAGAGCCTACTAGGGTTTCGGGTTCAGGCATACTACCCCCAATAATGAAGAATCAAATGGAAAATGACATTGAAACTGGGATTATATAGGGTTTATATGCGCCTTACTGCAAGATTTGCATGTGATTCGGTCTTGGAGGCTTTCTTCACAACGTTTCTTGGGACTGTGGTGATGATGTCTATAACTTCTTTGTGGACTACATGCTCTATCAGGTCGGCAAGCTTTCAGAAGCCGACATGGAAGCTTGTCAGCGTGGTCTGGCAATGAGATGGGGGACTTTGCACGGAGGCTTTCACATTTGCGTGCCGCCCAGCTGTCATCCACCAGATGCAATGCATGCTGTGAGCCTTCTGATCCTATCTTTCGGGCATGGTCTGCTAAGCGGTCCGTTGCTGAAGCACGCTGCGTTGGGCCTTCCAAAGGTCTTCGCGGCAGATTCTGAGGCACAGGAATACATTCAGAAGTGTGTCTCATTTGCTGACGCGCAAGATGTGGTGGTGCAGACGGTGGAGTTAAACTCAGGCTTTTCTATGCCAATGCTGGCCTTTGGAACGGCGGGCATGGACAGGACACGAGAGACGGTGCAGGAAGCTCTGCGTGTTGGATTTCGAGCGGTTGACACGGCCACCAATCCTTCTGGTGGGAACGGTTTCGGCTACGATCAGGAGAAAGTTTTCAAAGCAACCTCCGTAAAAATATCGCAAAAGACCTTGTAACTTCTGTAAACTCCCATGCATCCCTGGATTTTGGAGGGTATGCACCCTACCAACCCTCAAAGTACCCTAAACCCTTAACCTTAAACCCTAAGCCCTAAATCCCTCTAAAACCCTTAAAGTCCTCATATTTTTTGCGAGTATGTACCTTATAAATCCTTAAATTACCCTAAACCCTAAACCCCTCTAAACCCCTATAAACCCCTATAAACCCCTATAAACCCCTTAAAGGCCTCAGATTTTTTGCGCAACCTAGAGGAGGGTGTGGGCCAGGCCCTGAGGGGGTCATTGGAGCGCTCTTCTATTTTCATTACCTCCAAGGTTCATCCGGCCGAGCTTCTTATTGGAAGCTAGTACAGGGTTTAGGGTTAAGGGTTCAGGGTTTAGGGTTTAGGGTTTAGGGTGTAGGGTGTAGGGTTTAGGGTTTAGTAGGGACTATAAGGGTTACATAGGGATAATGGAAAAGAAAATGGAAGCTACCATAGTATATTGGGGTTGTATTGGTATGTAGTATATTGCGGTTGTATAGGGGTAATGGAAAAGAAAATGGAAGCTACTACATTATATGAAAGGGGTTTTGGGTTATAGTCCCCCTTAAGTGGATAGAATCTGGCTTTTTGGGTATATTACAATAAGATCCATATATAACCCATATTTATTGACTTAAGGGGGATTATGTGAGTAGGGAATGGTGTAATGGAATGTAGGGAATACACCAGGGACTCCGTGGCTTACTGCCCTAAACCGGGAAGGTACGAGGGGATCGTAGGAATTACCGCTCTGTCCCCAGACCCTAACACCTAAACCCTGAACCCTGAACCCTAAACCCACTAAACCCTAAAACCCTTAAACCCCAAACCCCTCAACCCTAAACCCATAAACCCTATTTAAAGACCTTAAAAGTGTCAGTAAGGCTTGGCTTCTCTAAAACAGTGATGACCGTGGAGCGTGCTCTGCGCGAGCTTGGAGATGCGGCAGAGGGTGACTTGTTTTGTTTTCTTGGTTTGGGTTTAGGTAGGGTTATAGGGTTTAGGGTTCAGGCTTTAGGGTTTGGGGTGGGTTTAGGGTCTCAGGGCGGACATTCAGTCTCTACAACTTCAGCACCTTTTAACCTGAAAGGTTCCGCATTTCCAAATGAAGAATGCCGAACGTTGAACTTTGACCTAGAGCAACCAAGGTTACATAGACCTCTTTCTGATACATTTCCCCACCTGCGAGGAGGATTCTGGGTTGCTGTTAAGGAACTTATTTTAACTCACTATGTTGGGGAAACCCTATTATGTACTACATATACCCCCATTATGGTAACTTAACTTAAGTTCCTTCAACCCCTACATTACCTCAGCATTCGTTTCATTTTCCATTTTCTTTTCCATGTGATTCTTCATTATAGGGGGACTATATGGTAAACCCATTATGGTAATTTTAACCCTAACCCTAAACCCTAACCTTAACAGCAACCCAGGAGTACTGTCCCCGAGGTGGTGCCCTAAGGCCACTTGGTACCTTTGAAGACAGCTGGCGCGGTCTCGAGGAGGCCCTAGGGCCGTAGGGTTGGAGGATGTTGGAGGTTTGGGCTTCAAGGTCCCTTTACCAGGGTTCTAGAGATGTTTAAGAAGCCCCAAACCCCTAAACCCAAAACCCTAAACCCTGAAACCCCTAAAACCCCTAAACCCTAAACCCCTAAACCCCTTAACTCTGGCTTAGGCCTTGCTGTAAAGCATTTCGAGTACACTTGTAGTCGAAAAATGGTTCTTCAAAATAACCCTTACCTCGCCTAGGGTTTCGGGTTGAGGGTTTAAGGGTTTAAGGGTTTAAGGGTTTAGCGTTCAAGGATTTAGGGTTTAGGGTTTAAGCGTTTAAGGGTTTTGGGTTCAAGGATTTAGGGTTTAGGGTTTAAGGACTTAGATTGGATTTATGGGTTGTCAAGGTGGCCTGCTAGCTTTTTTTTTTTGGTTGGTTCTAGGTTCTAGGGTTTATAATGAAGGTACATATGTTTTGTTTTCTCACAAGATGAGGGGCACCTTTTTTTGGGGGCCCCCATAATAAGGACAATAGTATTTTGGTCTAGACCAAGGTCCCCCTATTTGAGGAAACTACCATATAGGGTATATCTTTTGTCTATAGTGACCCAAGAGTAAAAAGCCCACGGTAGAGGCCCATACCTTAGTCCAGACAGAGGTGGTGCGGCGTGGATGGGTTCGATCCATTGGGGTCAGCAACTTTGATTCGCAGCAACTGCAGCGATTGCTGTCCATGGCGACGATCCTTCCTGCGGTTGTGGGACTGTGGGCAGATATCTTCCATCCGGTTCCGCGGTCCTTGCGAGTCCTCTGTAAGCGCCACAAGATTCAATTGCAGGTGTCATGGGAACGTTTACCCCAAAGTCTAAACCCTTAAGGACACTCCCTCTGAGGGCCCCAATAGGGCGTGATCCTTGCGGGGGGTACTCAATACAGATCCCAATGCCAAAAGGGACCCTTTAATATTCGGAAGCCCCCAACCCCATATATGAAAGAAAAACCATCCCAACATAATCCCTTTAGGAAACTGCCAGGTGTATGGCACCCTGGGCTATGAGTGGTCGCAAGGGCGGGGGCTGGCTGGCAAGCTAGCATCGCGCTCCAGCCCACTCCTTGTGCACCCTGCTTCTCAGCTCCCCAAAGGGAGATGTTTCTAGTTCCCCTGGAAATAGATCGAGTATGGAGTATGTAGGAATCTGGTGATGTTTCTGGGAAATTCCACTTTCTATCTCATTAAGGGGGACTACGATTCTTTTTCGTATAATGAGTCTTTATAAAGAAACTTGTACTTTGTGGGCTTAAACCATCCACCATCCTGCACCCTAAGCCTTATTTGAGCCCTCAACCTCAAAACCCTCAAGCCCACACCAGCTTACCATTTTCTTAGGGCTCTCAAATTCCTTACTGTTCAACTTTCAAATTTTCAAGCTCAAAATGACAATAGTAAAAAACCCTTGAACCCTTGAACCCTAAACCCTTGGACCCTAGACCCTAAACCCTAAACCCGAAACCGTGTACCCCAAAATCCTAAGCCCTAAGCCCTTGAATCCTAAAACCCTAACCCCCTAAGCCTTTGAACCCTTATTGAAGAAGAGAGGCTTTGCGCAAGATTTCCAGGTCGAAAGGCTGGCCGGCGACTAGCTTGCTGTTAAGGAACTTAAATGAGCTATAGTCTAAACTCCTTAAAGGGTTAAAGGGATTCTAGAGGGGATTTTATAAGGGGTTATTATGGGGGTTCTTATGCGGGATACTAGGAGTTTGGACTATAGCCAGAGCTTACGGTTTTGCGTAAAGGAATTTAAATTCATTGTTTAGGGTTTGGGGTGAAGGCATTCAGGTGACGGGTTGAGGGTTTAGGAGATTAAGTTTAGGGCTTAGGGTTGAGGAATGCAAGTTAAGTTGCCATGATGGGCTCCGTTGAACCCTGTTCCCTTAAACCTAAGCCCTAAGCCCTGATCCCGCATCCTTGGGTCATTCCCGCTCACAGCAACTGTTCTTCAAAGAGGTTTCGTTGGGGGCCTGTTGTAGCTCCTCTTACAAATTGCGGTAATTGTCAGTGTAAGGGGGAAGGACCCAACAACCCAACCTAGGCCCCAAGCCCTCAGCCTTAAGCCCAAACCCCTAAAGCCTGAATCCAGGTGACAGATGCAGCGATCAAATTCTTCCTGCAGCAAGGAATTTCTGTTATCGTCTCCTCTACGCGCAGGGAGCGCATGCTGGAACTCTATCGTTCCTTTACCGACCTTATCCTAGGGTTTAGGGCTCAAGGAAGGTTTCCCTGAGCACTTCGCATTTTTTGTGGTTAGGCTTTCGTGTATTCTGGGTGTTACAAGCTACATGTCTAGCAGGTTTGTTATGAAACTAAATTCCTAACTATGATAAATGATAGCAATGATTAATAAGCTACATCAATTAATCCCATTCAATCTACAACTAATAGTTATATTCATAGCAATCATTGTAAGATAGAATTTAGGTGGACCCCCCACCCAGTAATAGTGACTATAAGGGACAATAGGGATTATATTAGGGTCCTCTTGTCTTCTTATTATACCACTGTTAAATCCCTAAACCCTAAACCCTAAACCCTGAACCCTAAACCCGAAATCCTAAACCCTAAACCCCCTCCTAAGATATAATGCCTAGGTTCCCAGGATGATCGCCAGCTTTCGCACCAGGAGCTCGAGGACCTGCATGACCTGGAGGGCTTCCTTGGGTCAAGCCTGAAGGTTGATGCTAGCCCGGAGTCTGGGTTGCTGTTAAGGAACTGCATTTGATATTGGGGAAACTGTATATTCTACTTTATATATATATATACACCCATTATGGCAATTCTGGGTTGCTGTTCAGGAACTTATTTGAAGTTACTGTACTGGGGAAAGCCTATTATTTAGTGTATATATATACACACACCCATTATGGTAACTTAAGTAAGGAACTTAATTTGAGTTGCTAAAATGGGGGAACTCTATTATATATATATGGACACCCGTTATGGTAATTTAAGTAAGGAACTTATTTTAAGCTACTATGCTGGGGAAAGCCTATTATTTAGTATATGTACCCATTTTGGTAACTTAGTTTAAGTTCCTTAACAACAGCCCAGGATTTTTATGCCGGGCTGTCAGGTTTCGACACAAGTGAGCTTCATACGCTCACTATGCAGGAATTAGATATTGAGTGGGACTGCAATGCAGCACGCTCCGATTTTGCGAGTTACGGCCTGGTGCATCTGCAGGGTGTGTTGCCCCCACTGGTTCTGAAGTCCGCCCAGCGAGCATGTCAGAAGATCGTGCTTGACCATGGCGGTGGAAATTGGGAGGCTAGAGATGAGTTTCCACCTGTTCTCTGTGACTGGACAAAAACCGCGTACAACGCAGACATCAATGTGGACAAGCTCCACACGACAGAACTGAGCTACTTGTTTCCTGCCGTGGTGTCAGTGAAGGAGATTGCCAAGTGTATACTGGGCACGGAGGAGCCGCTTATTTTCTATATTCTTTTGCGCGGGAAAGCGCAGGGATGCAACGCCTCCTCCATACCTTGGCACCAAGACACGGCGTATCATCTGTATCGCGCAACTCAGGCATCATGGTCGTGGACGTTATTGTTTCTCCCGCACTTGCATGTCTCTCATAGGTGCTACTTGTACGCCTCCCATGACTGCTCCCAAAAGGAAAGTAATGTGTACGGTTTAACTATCTCGGTTTTGTTGTCACCGCGCTTTACTACTGTTGTCAGCCATGTTGTTCTTACAGCTGCTGACAGGAAGTCAAGTATGACGTGCAGACAGAGGCAGACATCGACGAGTTCGCGAACCACACTGCTGTGCCTGGGTCCCGATTAGTAGGGTTAGGGCGAAGAAGGACTGAATGTGCCGGCTGTCGCACTTGTAGTCGCAGTGTTGGTCGTACTGGTTGTGGTTCTGGTTGCAGTGGTGGTGGTGGTGGTGGTGGTGGTGGTGGTGGTGGTGGTGGTGGTGGTGGAGGTGGTGGTGGTCGTGGTCGTGGTCGTGGTCGTGGTGGTGGTGGTGGTGGT